AGAAGTCCTGATTATATTGCCTGCTATATTTACTGCTTATTTATTAAAGACAATTGGTTGAAGAAACATTGATTAAAATTAAGATACAATTAATACAAAACGAAATTCACTTTAAAGAAAGGCTTTCTACAAAAACAAACTTAATGAAGTGGTCAAAATCATGTCTGCCCACTCCATTTGTCTCCCGATTGCGCATCTTATGCTCTTACTCATGCTTTTCACTTTTCATATAATTAACATTGATGAAATTAAAAAATAAATAATTTTATTTAAACATAAATATGAAACTAAATCGTTTTCTTTAATGACTGGCTCTCCACAGAACCTACAATATTAATTTTATTGAATTTTTCGTGTTCACATTTATGAGGAAAGAAACAATGTTATGGACGTAACAGTTCTTCGGACTTGACCGCTCTGAAAGCGGCACTAAAAGACTGCTTTAAATCTTTCACAGAGACCTCAAACAGGCATTTAAAACACCAAATATTAAGGATTGGCATATCAAGCAAAATAATATTCGATGATAGCTCGAAAATTGTACCTCTACCCCCACATGCTTACAGTAAGACGGCATTCGCTCAAATCCCGCTCCGATATTATAAAGTCCCCATGAATTCAAAATTGACCATACTTACTTTGTTTGCCTAAATTGATCGTTTTGTGGTGAACAATTCATCCATGCAAGTCAATCCACACAAAAAATTTTTTTGGCTTCGTAATCTTAAATCAAAATCTGAAATTTCCCCTCCCCTCTGCGTTGGAGGACCTTGCCTGATGACGTAGGTTTCACGGTTTGGGCGTCTTCTTAACATCCGTAACCACGCCCCTCCAACTGATAGTAGACAGGCTGAATGAAAACACCTACTTTTCTAGATCCAATCAGGTGCTAGTTGGGAAAAAAGCCACGCCCACCATTTTGCCTCATTAGTATTCCGTTTCTCTCGGAAATACGTCACAACACTGGAGAAAAGTCGTTTGCAACTTCCGGTTCACGGGGACTTTAAATTTCTCTGTATAGACCAAGCGTGCCGCACAAGCCCTCAAAAGTGAAGCCAAAACGTCTCGATCGCCCCCCAGTGACCGGTCCTAGTATAGGTCATAAACCCCGCCTCCCCATGTTATTCAACGGGACATGAGACCAACTAAATAATTAAATTACACTTCACATATCTTTTTTCTAAAGATAATTTCTGTCATTTACTGTAGTTTCTATCATGTTGATGTAATTTCAAGTGTTTGTTTTTAAAATAAGTTAGTTTTTAGTTAGTTATTTGATGCTATAAAAACGGTGCTGTGACATCATGATTGACAGCTGTGATTGACAGCTTCTCTGTGCGAAGTAGTCAGTGAAGTACTAACTGACTTTTTTTCATAATGTTGACTATGTGGTTAGTAGTTGTATTTACCTTATTTTAATGAGGTACTGCAATCAGCAGACATCATTGGAGAGGAACGGAGCAGACAAGGCCACTTAAGAAAAGTTCAGGGCGTGTGCTTGCGATTGATTCAACAAGAGTGAGGGCGGGGCCTTGATTTCGCGGCTTTACTTCCTGCTCACGACTGCGCATGACTGGTCCCGAAAACGCTACTGCACAGACTCAAGTTCCAATATGTCAGCGCCATATCGGGACACTGGCGGCTTCAGTTCTCTCCAATGGAAAAGAGCGAAGGGGCGTCGTCCATCTTTTTTTACAGTCTATGGTATAGACCTACGTGTTGTAGCGCAGCCTCTGTCACATACCATGTGGAGCTTGTTGTGACTATTGCAAGCACGCAGCTGAGGAGACAGTGTTGCTGTCAAATCTATCCATGGGAAAAGTAACGTTGTGCGGAATTGAAAAAGGAACTACGTTTCGTTACCAAATCTTCAGTAGTAACGCGTTACACTACTTTTTACCTGAAAAAGTAGTTACGTTACTGTAACGCGTTACACACAACACTGCTTGTGATGTTTTATTTGTATTGGTACATCCGTGCCGCGAGATGTTTAAAAGTGGCGGGGACAATATCGACCCTGGCAAAAAGTGGTGGGGAAATTCACTAATAATAATAATTAATAATAATAAAAGTTGTTTTGTTTTTTTTGCTTCAAAATATTTCTCAAACGGCATAATTTTCATATCATAACTAACCTGCTCTGTCTAGTCTGTCAGTGTCGGTGTCCTCTTTGCTACACGATTTTTCTCTCCGTGAAAAAATGGATGTGGCGTGAGAGCGTGTGAAAAGTGTCAGTTGTGTGAGTCTCAAGCTGAATGCGTGAGAGTTGGCAGCCCTACTTTTAGAAGTCAGTCCCTCCAGAAAAACGCGATTATGCGATCGCTGAATTCAATGCATAATCAGCCAAAGTCCGCATTTTTATGTGGGGGTCGCATTTTTTCAAATACTCCGCAATTTCGCCGCATAAATTGCTGATTTCCGCGCAAAATATGCGGGGCTTGCATGATTTCATAATCCCCGCATTTTCGTCGCAAAAAAGTCACATATATCTTAGCAGTAAGTTGGAAAATGTTGCGTTTGCTTCACACGAGAGCAGCCGTTTCCCCCTGTTGCCATGGGAACGTTATGAAGTGACGTAATTACGCGACGTGAACATCATTGAAAAGCTGTAAAAACAGGAGCACACTTTATTTTTAAATATTTCATTTATTCATTTTTACTGAAGTTGTAGCATATTCCTCTAGTAAAGCTACAGAACTTGTTTGACTCATCAATGTTTTGTAAGTTTGATGTGTTTATTAAGGTCTTGTCTTGTAACGCATTGTGTCGGGAAGAAAAATAGGGATAGCTCACAGCTGAAGTTATTGCAGAGGCCAGACAGACTCACGGAGGCGATTGGCATCTCACAACTCGCACTTTATTCCCAAATCGAACTCGTAACTGTCTGTCACACGTTCTACCGTCCACATCGTTACTTAAACAAAATAAGATAAAAGTAGTAAGTTAGCATCAAACAGAAATTACCCGCACACATGGGGTGTTCGAGACGCACATACAATATAATACTGCAGACAGTTCAACAGGGAGCGCGCAGCTCTTAAAGGGGCCACACCTTATTTCCACTCGTTACAGTCTGAAATAAAACAAGATGAGAAATTAAATATTTCCAGCACTTTCTGTGATGTAGTATGCTTGCTTATCATAGGAAGTAATAAGAAAGGACTCTTTACATCAAGTAGTAGCCTAGTGAGAACAGGGTGCTGGGGGAATCACTTTTTTTTCTCTTTTTCATCAAACCACAGTTTTTGCAAGTTCCCGCAATTTCATCGCAAAAAATTGCATAAATATCCCGCATATTCCATCGCATTTTTAAAGAAAACGGGCCGCGTTTTAACTCATTTAAGACTGTGCTTACGACGAGGATACTCGACAAAGCGAAAATTTTGGCATACTTTTGTTTTTTTGTCCATTCAAGCGCGAAAGAGAACTCAATGCGGCTGCGCGGATTACTTAAAGTACAGATTTAAGTTCTTATTTTTGCACCTTATCGCGCTTGAGTAAATGATGGCGTGATCATATACTGTAGCACAGTGAATGGATGCCAATGTACAATTTAACTGGTACTTCTTGACGTTCTACTGTTAACCGACTACGGGAGAATAGCCGATTTGCTGTAGTCGATAATACGTGACAGATTAGATAAGTCCCGAATGTAAGTGCAGGTACGCGACACCGATTGAGTGCGTGACCATGCACTCGCACAAATGCGAACACTTCAAATTTTAACTCACACATTCTCAGAAAATGGTCGTAAATGCGACCGCAGTCTGGAGGCCAAGAAAAGAAGATACAGGTGAAATAAACAATGCTTGAAGTTTTTCTTGCAATTCTATCTTACAGAATAGAATTCAGCTAATGGCCTACTACAGAAATTGAATAATCAAATGTATAATAAAACACAGCATAGTCTTCACAGTATGAATTAGACTTACAGTGACCCTTATTAAAGCTACAAAAGTATCATTATGGATTCAGACAGTAGCAGGTACATTGAGGCAATACCGACGCTGGTCATGTGTGTGATGCTGGCCAATAGTGAGCCTACGTTCTGACGTACAACGCAGAAGCGCTGCGACACTACGTGAACTCACTCAGAGGCCCACACAGAAGAAAATGAATAGTTGAATAAAGTCGTTATTTTGGTTTGTTTTTGCGCACAAAAAGTCGCTTGATAAACTTAAGGTTGAGCCACTGTAGTCACTCGGACTATTTTAAACATTGTCTTTACTAACTTTCTGGGCCGGCAAGTTTCAATTACATAGAAGCCAATGGAGGAGTGAGACAGCTCTCAGATTTCAACAAAAATGTCTTAATTTGTGTTTCGAAGATGAACGAAAGCCTTAGGGGGTTGGAACAACATGAGGGTGAGTAATTACTGACAGAATTTTAATTTTTTGGTTAACAAACCCTTTAAAGGTCCAGCCAGCCACATCCTATTTTATTCCTAAACCTAGTTAGGTTAAGCTCCACCCATTACGTCCAAAGAGGGGGAACTGGTCAGTTGGCTCTGAGTCTGCAGTGAGCGCCACTTGTTCAGAAAGTCCTCCAGGTTCTGTCAGGACTCGAACTCATTCTTTTTAGCTGTTCATACAGCAGCAAACAGAAGATTAGCACCAGTATAGTAGACAAAAGCTGCTGCAACAGGTTGCTGTCCCTGTTATTTGTATACGGTTTTCTTCAAATAAGTGTTTGCTAATTATTCAGGCCATAACTGCTCATCTTGTGAACAAAGAGTTCACACACAAACTTTTGTAAGTTTAAATAATAATTTTAATGTTGAAAATGTCTTACAGCAATATCACAATGCTGTTGTCTTCATCATCTTCTCTGAACATCAGTAGCAACAGTGGCCCAGCTCTGTACAACACTGCATATAGAACACAGCCAATCTATCATAACTTGTTTTATCTTTAGATCAATAACATTATTACTCCGTATTATTCATAAGCTTGTTCTGTTTACACAATCTGGGTGAAGAGATCATGTAAAAAGTCTGGTCAACTTCCAGCTTCTGGAGTCTAATTAGGCCAAATATCTCATTCCAAGTTCCATATTCGTAAAATCATTAGTCATCATCTTCCTGCAAATGGACTTGGATGGCCAAAAGAAAAAAAGACAGGGTGAACTCTAAAGAAAAGCAGTCACAGGAAACAGGAGTAGTATATTCCACCTACATGTTGCCAAGGCCTCTTCACTTAAGAGTGACTCTTCACAGAGTCGTCTTGGCCTCCGTGGTCGGTCTTGAATGAATCCAGTGAAACAAACTCCCCCAGGTCGGCTCCTAAGGTTTCTTGTGTCCTTCGGGTCTCCGGCTTCGTAGCAGGAAGGCGAAAGGAGCCTGTGCATCAAGAGTCAAACCCATTTTCACTTCCCTTGCTTCTCCAGTGTGTTTAAGGATGAGGCAGGTTCATGCGGTCCTCGATCAGGGTGTTGTCCGCACCCTGCGTCTCCATGCACTGCCGCACGGTGGCCAGCACTCCGTTGAGACGGCGGTCGAGCGCGCTGAGATGGGGCCCTGTCAGCACCGGAAAGGCGGGATCGTGGGCCGTAGCCTGTGTCATTGCTGAACTCAACACTCCACCTTTCAGCAGGTTCAGCCTATTCCAGGTGGAAACGCGGACCCTTTTGGATACAATCAAAAGGAGACAGAAATAACCAATCAAATCCTTTGTGTCTGGCTCTTATAAGAACAAAAATGAAATGACAAGATGCAACTAAACAGACGACAATGTCTTATTTTAGTGTCACTGGCGCGTTCGCAGTCCATTTGCATAACGCTGAACTCTATCGCATAACTAACGGAAAATTAATGATTTGCGTGTCAAAATCTGTGTCAGTTCGAGCGACCTTTAATTCGGAGGTAGTCAGGCAGAAAGTCTTTAATGCACATATGTACAATTAAAGCAGCATAAGGCTTTTCATCTGTTAGTCAGTCAATATCTCATTAAGGAGATAATGAGTGTGTGGAGCACTAAGTCATTCTGAAGGCGAATCAAATTATTGAATATCTTCTAGAATGCTTTGTTTACCACAATGCTAAATTGTACCTTTTTTTTTAAGATTAAAAGTTTGGGATTTTAAAGACATTAAGATTTTTGTAATGTTTTTGAAAGAAGTCTCTTGTGCTCACGGAGGCTACTAACAGCACAACAGTGTGAAATATTATTACAATGTAACATACATTTTTTATTGAATGGCAGTGTTTATATTTTGGAGCAATGCAAAAATGCTTATAATCTTTGGTTTTATTAAGTAAAATGTTATTATTGATATCAATTACAATATGAATTTCAACTAGTACAGGTTTGGTAGTTGATTTTTCCAAGGTAAATTCTGTTTCCAAATCGTGTAAATATCAAATGGAAACAAAAAATTATATTGGACTCAAAAAACCAAGAAACAGAACACTTTTCTTCTTAATTCCAAAAGTCCAGCACACGCAACTGGTGTCATTCATATAAATTAACCTACAAAATAAAGCTGACGAACGTGTGAACTACCAACATTATTCCAGAAGAAAACTTGACTCATGTTCACGCAAAAACACTCAAAATCATAGACTCTTCAAGCTTGTTTTGTGTAATTGAAGGTCAACAGCGTGTCAGCGTTTAGACCTTTGTTTATTTTTAAAAAACAGACCGGAAAGCATTCATCACCACAGTAAACAAATGAAGACAGAGGTTAGGGACTGCCTGAGGCCTGTCATTTTTAGAAACCTAAAGTGGTTTGAAAGAGGAAGTTAAATAGTGACATGAGAACGAGAAAAGATCAACACAGGATCAATACTAATACTCCTTCCAAACAATGTAAATGTCTCAGCAGTGCATTATTTGTTTGCATTTGGTACATTTCACTGTGGATTATTTGGTAGTCACAATTACGACGTAGTTTTTGCAAACAGACGTTTACGATATTGATCTGCCAGCAACACTACACACATGCAAGTAACCATGTTTATTATAATACCTGATCTGTGGTCAGTGATTTATTTCTCTTTATTTTTTCCTTATCTTTCTCTCAAAATCGTTCAATACTGTTTATGCATCAGCAAATCAAGCCAGTGACTAAACGATCAACTTAACATCCTACTAAGAGATACGATGTGATTTAAACGGATTAAATTATATAAAGAAAGCGATCAAAGAATGCTCCTTTTCTAATCGCCCAAGCGGTCAATCACACAGCGCGAGTGTAACACTGTAACTGTTGTCAATATAACAATAAGTGTTGTATCACTCTGAATATGTGTAAGTATAGGGCTAGGTTCGACTCTTAGGAGGATACAAATAAACTTTAGGCCAAATAGTGTAAATCAGCCAGCACATTTATTGTACATGGAACATTTAATAATCAAATACTACAAGAGCAAGTTGATGTATATAGATGTCTCGTTCCAACACAACCCTATCTGAAATGGAGAAAAGGAATATTTAGTCCAGGCTGTGCATGAAAGGTCTAATAAAGTAAATAAAAAAATAAAATAAAGTGTCCAAAAGACCTCCTGGTTCCTTCACAAGTTGATGTTTGTGTAGTGTAAAGTAAATGTACATGTAAGGACTTTTTTTTCCTACTACCCGGGTAGTGAGTGTATAAAGTAACAGCTTAGCTGTAATTGAAAAGAATCCCATGACGAAAACATCACACGATGTCACTGTCTAAATGTAACATTTGCTAACATTTTTATTCAAAACTGTGATTTCTCGATTCAAAATAAACTAGAAAAATCTGAAGAATCGGCCAGCCCTACCTTGTTCGAGAAGCCATTTCACTCGTATATGTCACAATAGGGAACAACAAACTATCGCAACTTCCGTTTCATGCTGACTTTAACCCTCTGAGGACCAGAGTGCTTTTGGGGCCCTTGGGATGTTTTGACATGCACTGACATTTGTGCTTTTTTCAGTTATTTATAAACATGTTAATGGCAAAGGTGTAAATTCACTCTATATAGCACAAACTTGGCTACCATGATATCTGAGCAACATGTATGTACATGTCTGTATTTTTAATAGAATAATGTTTATGCGTGGTTATTGAAAAAAATAAAAATGAAAGTTGCTGAAATAAGACCACAAAACACATATTGATTATTTCTTCACAAGACTTTTGAAAATTGTATCACATAGCCTAGAATATTTGCTCCAAAACTATGTGAGAATCATCCTGACTACTCATTCAGATAAGTCAATAAAGTCTTTTACATTTTTAATGACATGTTTTGTTTGAGAAAGCTTTATGCAGGAGGCGTGATCTCTCATTAATATGTGTGGCATTCCACACCTGAGAAAGACAAAGACCCTCCCATAATGGCCCTATTAGGTGCTATCAGGCCATATCATTACAGGAGCCTTGCACAAAGAATGAGGAGATAAAAAAAAGAATGGCTTTTAGATTGTTTGGATTTATATAAGGAAAATACAGGGTGCATACATCTGGACACTTCTATCACACACCCTTCACCATATAGTCATGGTTTTATTTCAGTTCAAAGTTCAAAGTTAGAGTTGGAAACATCTTGAAAAGAAAATTGTCTTTCTCCATAAATGTCTTAGTTTGATCATACATATTTCAAAGTTGAGGATTCATTATTTTGATATAGCTTGAACAAACACTATAACATCTTAGTTGATTAGTTTATTGACAAAACATACTATATATTTAACATATGAGCAGAAACTCCTAAAAAAAGCTTATTTGATGTCTATTTTAGAGTAAAAACTTTATCCAAAACGAGTCAACGAAATGTTGTCTGTTATTTAGTCTGTAACAGTGCGTATCTGTGCGTTCATTCATTCATTCACACACACACACAAACATGATTCACATTTTTAAACAGTATGCTATTTTTCCGTTTACAGACACTACGTTATTCTATATCGCGATTAGAACAAAGCACTTGCAAAAAACACTTACTTCTCAGCTGAATCTGTTCATCCTCGAAGTGAAAATAAACCCAGTGGTAAATGTCCCAGGATTGTTCCTAATATAGCCGCGCAAGACGACAGTAGATTAATCTGACTAAAAAATAATGTGTGTTTTCAGAGTTTATGGGCGTTAACGCGTCTCAATGTGTTGCTTCACATATTTGCGTTTGAATAGCGCGTGCTCTCCGTGGGCGTGTCACATTACCAGAGATAATCAGCTGAGAGAACGATAATGAGACGGGCTGACACGTCTCTCTTTTTATATAGATGACATAAACGGAGAATATTCATTTTTAGTTTTGAATCGGATCATTTAAAAGTACAAACTCAAATGATTTAAAAGATATATTGCTTATGGCTGGGTGAATAGTATTAGCTGAGTTGTGTTGAAGATTAGAGACGTGCTCCAGAAAAAAAGTTCACGGTGACTGAGAGGCAGAACGCACACCCTGTTTATTTTCTTTATTTTACAAAAGCACAATATTTTATTTCGATTGTATGTGGGCACATAAAAAAGTAGACATTTACCAGATTATTTTTTCATATTTCTTAACTCTATATGAACAGAAATGATGGTAGTACTTTAAGTCTATTTTTCTGCTATGTGAAAAAAAACGAGCAAAACGCGCCGGCGCGTTTCTGGTCCCCAGAGGGTTAAGGATCACAGTGTTTGTGTGAGTACTCACATGCAGCACTGATAAAGAGGGGCGAGAATACTCCTCTCGTCCAGAGCTGGGTTCCCAAAACTGCAGGAGAAAACACAATTTCAAACTTCAATCTTGCATCTTGTCCAATAAAACAAAAACCTTTCTCTAGATCACTGCTTCTCAAATGTTCTCAGGTGGAATACCAGTTAAACAGACTGATTTGTGCTTTACATGTATAATTAAAATTGAATGTATTCAACAAAATTCTTTTGACTTGTATATAGCCAAATTCTTTGTCATGTTTCTAACATGCATTCAACAAACCTAGCCAGTTCAGATATTTCATGTGTTCTAGCACAAGCACACCCGGTGCAACTAATGAAGCCCTTGATTGCACCTGGTTTGCAGATTTGTGCTGTTGTGATGGATTTTATTCAGGGGGTTGAACCATTTTGACACTGCAGAAGTCATTAAAAGTAGCATTTTCAGTTGAATTTGGGGGGATATTTGTTGTGTTGAGCTATTTCAATTACTTTTGTTTGATTTGTTCATTGCAAACAGCTGAAAGTATGTAAATTGCCAATAAACCTGATTTGCAATGGGGGTTCAATAATTTTGATTACAACTGTATATATATATATATATATATATATAGTTTTTTAAAAATATATAATTACTTGTGTCTATCAACTTAATGGATCTCTATATTTTTCATCTGTTTCTTTTCTTTCTACCTTTTGGCATTGTCCAGAAGTATGAGCATACTGGCTCCTCCATCATCTTGGAAACTCTCATAGTGATGGCGGTCAGCATTACCAATAAGGTAATCAAAGATGGCTGTGTCGATAACATCCAGGAGCCGTGGACCAGCATCATAAGGGGGCATTTTCTTCACTGCCTCACAGTAGCTCTCATCATACTCCCACCTAACACACACACACACACACACACACACACACACACACACACACACACACACACAAACATTGATCAACACAATCAATAAAAACAGACACATCCTCTTGAAGAGTGTTCATCCATTGACTCCGTCGGCTCTGGATAAATGTGAATTTCTCTTCAGTCTAAGAGAACTCTGAAGAACACTGTTCCAGGTGTCAGATGCTCAGCGCAGGTTTATGTGCTCTGAAAACCCATCAGGTCCCCTGGCAACGGCTCAGAAACCACTGTAATAACCACTGCGCTTTACAGGGGGCTGATGTGATGTTCAAGAGAACACTACTCTTGTCAATGTGTACACAGACTTTATCAGTTTATCATATACATATATACAGAAAAAGATTCCATGTGGTTCACGTGAAAAGGAAATGGAAAGACAGCATTTATGAAAAAAGGACTGATTTTCCTTTTAAAAAATACTGATTTTTTAACTATTTACACAGTAAGACCTACCGGTAAATGTATGAGCAAAAGTTTCCACACTGCTACATCAATAGGGAATTTTTAGGGGGCCACCCAAGTGAAATGCAATTATCTGATGTAATAAAAACAAGTTAAAGCAACTTAGAGTACACAGAAGAGGAAAAAAGAAGGACAATGCAGAAAATCTGCAGATCTGTTAATAAAGTGCTGCAGGGACGACATTTTTGTAGGCCAAACCAAAGCAGCATTGTCCTGATTCGCTCGACAAAAAAGCCAATAGGATTTTTTGTATCACTGTAGAAAATAAGCTCTGTGACCAACAAAAGTTTTGATTCTTACACATTTTTTTCATCATGATATTCTTCAGAAATTAACATGGGTTGCATGACTTCAACATCATCACCATTAGTCTTCCAACACAACAATACTGGAAAAGTGGACTAGTGAATAGATTGCTGCGGTAGTCGGTGCTGGTGTTACACAAGTGTTTGGCCATACACCGATTACATTACTTGCCCACCATGGCACCGCCCCCACTGTAATTTATTTATTTTTCTTTATAAAGGTAAAAAACCATTTAGTTTAGTTGGACAACGGACGCTACAATGCAGCGGCTCTGTGCCGAACAGTACAACAGGAGTCAGATTTCCCTTATCACGTGACCAGAGTAAGGAGAGATGACTGACAGGATGATGCTGGATCTGGTGGAAATTTCCTACTTGAAGAGCAACAGCCTTTTTAAAATCATGAAAGTCAACAAAAAATAATAAAATAATAAAATATCTTGAGCTTATGTTCACCATAGACCTTATTTCAGGAATTCGAACAAAAACCCATTTGAAAGACTCAATGAGTTAGAGACAACGAAACCAGAAGTGCAAAAATGCTAACTTGAATGTCCAAGTTTTAGGACTCATTCCTGTAGTACTTCAAGGACATTCAGAGCATAACAGGCCAAACTGAACCTGAAAAACTGATCAAAACATTTTGTGCAAACGGATAACTTTAATACATTCAGTTTCAGAGAACTTCAGACTAAAATATCTGTGTTTTGCTGTTTAGAAGTCACAATATGAACTGATTAGTAATAGCCAAACTAGACTCGTGCTTCATTAAATGGCTGCTAAAACCAAAAGTTTCCAGTAAAGTGTCAAAGACAGAGATAAGGTTAATATGTAAAAGGGTAGCAACAAACAGAGTGTAGACTTTAAAATAATCAAAGATAATTTGATAATCAGCTAATGTCACAACCTTAGTTTGGTGGGGGAAGTTGTAAACTTCTGATTGGTCAGTTTGAATGTCTTACATTTGGGTTAAAGTCACATGGCCAAGAAAGGGATGAAAGAAGATTGTAACTGCTTTCTTTATCTCGGTCTTTGTTCTGGTGCTTTTCCTCTGGGTAAAATTTTTTTTTACAGTTTTATCATCTCATACATCTATTTTGTCACTATTTTAAGCCCTGGGGCATTTTTAGAGTTGTTTTTTCTGAGTGACATACACAAAAGTAAAGACTCATAACTCCAAAACTATAGCAAGGAGAGTCAAAAGGTAGACGTTTGATAGAACACTTTTCAAAGTTTTAGAAAATATACATTACATTAGGACATTCTCATGCTGAGAAAAGACTATATATATATATATATATATATTGTTCCTCCATGAGGAATATCTTGTGATCAACGCAATTGATTATGTTGTGTTTGGGCTCTTTGTAATCGTGAGCATCTGCTGTCAATAAAGATGTTCGATTTTCCACAATTCATGCATGGAGTTATGAGTGAAAATGTCACATCAATCCTCCAGCTATATACTTCATTGAATGTGCGCCTGTGCAGGTTCATGTGTTATAAGTCCATGAGGAATATCTTTAGATCTGAGTGACGGATTATGGTGAGTTGGGGCTCTTTTTCAGTTCAGTTCAGTTCATTTATTTATAAAGCACATTTAAAAACACTCACATGACTGCCCAAAGTGCTGTACAGGTATATGCTAAAAATCAAGGAGACACAACTAAGAAACTACATGTATAGATAAAGGAAAAAAGACAATGAAATCAAATAAATAACGTACAGAGTATAGACGTTAACAAGTATTAAAAGCTAATGAGAACAAGTAGGTTTTCAGCAGAGATTTAAAAACAGATAGAGAAGAAGCTACTCTAAGTTGTGGTGGCAAGCTGTTCCACAATCTAGGCCCCACCACCGAAAAGGCTCTATCTCCTCTACGTTTGAGTCTTGTACGAGGAACATTGAGGATATTTAGGTTACTTGATCTTAGGCCGCGGGACGGACTATAGGAGTGTAGAAGATCAGACAGGTAACTTGGGGCAAGATGATGCAGACATTTGTAGACTAAAAGGAGAATTTTATAGTCAATCCTGAATTGGACTGGTAGCCAATGGAGAGCTCGCAGGATGGGAGTGACGTGATCGAATTTTTAATCGTAACAATCTGCTGTAAATAATGACGTGAAATCGCATCCTTATATTATTTACATATCGGGCTTGTGGGGGTTCATGTACAAAAAAACCCACTCAAGTTTAGTAAAAAGCCCAAAACAATTATGCTTGATGTATTCTACTCCGTGAGACCTTTCAAATGACATGTGACACACGACTATCTGAGCTGTATGATGTATTTGACATATTGCAGTACATTGTACAAAGACGTATTTCATAAATTAAGGAAACTTTTTTTTTTATCAGCAAATAACTCAGCTCTACATAGGAGTTAATCAAATTGGCTACATTCATGGTAAAGTTTAGACTCGAAGCTTTCAAATGACACCTATTTTGTGTTGATCAAGGCAGTAGTTTTGAAAAATATGATTATAATTTTTTTCGAGCTAGGCGTTACACTCCGTATTAGAGGGACTAGTCAGCACTCGTTAAGAATTGATCAAAGTGGTTAGAAGCTTTCAAAAAGCTGAGTTTCTAAGGTTTAAAATCGTACCTATTTTGTGTTGTTCCATTCAGTTGTTGCGTAGTAATTTGATTATGATTTTTTTTTTTTTTTTGCGGGGCCGGTGGACTGCTGCATCTCCATATAAAATTTACATCTGCCATGGAAATGAGACTGGAAACAATTCTGGAGACCTAGACAATTCGGTAACCTCATGTTTTTTCCCCAAAATAATAATAGTAATAAAAATAGATCCATAAAGGTAAGCATGATGTTCAGGTTAACAATGTTATGGACACTCCCCTCTAATTAACAGGTTTGGCTCTTTCATAAATTACTACGAAGTAAAAGCCAAACGGACTTGCTTTTCTTTAGGCTGCTTTTTTCCCACATTTTACGTATCTAAAAGAAAAATTCATTGTGCATTACATTTACATACAAGCATCTCCTTCTCTAAACTATAAACACAAAACTAAAAGCAGTGTTTGGTTTTGCTTTAGTAGGTTTTGAAATAAATTAAGCCTCATTTCAGAAAATGTGTCAGGTGGTGGGAAAACTTGTAACCAAAAACCCTACAGTCAGAAGTTCAATGCTCTGTGCTGTGCTTTCACTTTAATCAGAAGTTCCTGCACCACCCAACATGTGTGAAAATGGCAGTTGACTATACTCTAAATGCTGGACCATCCCATCCTTGGCTAACTCAAAGGCCAAGAGCTCAGTGAAAGTCCCCGTTGACCATTAGACACTCATAAACAGCCCAACCACAGACCATCAGGCTGAAACTGCGCTGAACCACTGATAAACATAGCGGTGTGTACCTGTACACTCATTCGAGTCAAACGTGAAAAAAAGGTGAAGGGAGAGAACCAGTGAAAGACATATAATTACTATACCTGGCGAGTTTTCCCTCTCGATATGTGCGTCCCCACGGGTGTCTGTGTTTCTGTAAGGGCCAGACGTCAGGAAGCCACAGGGTAACCGATCCCTCCATCACATCCCCTTCTGCACACGCAGGCTCAGTCTCACGACAGTAATAACACTTCCCATAGAAACATGTATTATTTCCTACAAGAGAGACAATATTATCAATTATCATTGAAAATATTGCTTAAAAAGATGTCTGGAAGGAACTGTGCTGTTCGTGAGAGGATTGTTTTGAAGGGGAGAGCAGTTGGTTATGAATCTTTTTTTGCAGTGAACTCAAAAATACTGCTCGACTGATGCAATTCTGATCAACCATATACCTTGTATTACTTGTCATTTTTTTAATGGAAATAAAAGGATGGAACCCATGGAATGGAAACTTGTACTTAAGTCCCGTTCACACCACCAGCATACATTTCAATGGAGCTGGCGATTTCCGACGACGTGAGCGACAGTGACAGTTGGTGGCAGGATATAAGCGATGCGACAAAGTGGAGAAATGTTTAAAGGGGCCCTATTTTAATGCCCCTTTTTAAGATATGTAAAATAAGTCTTTGATGTCCCCTGAGTGTACATGTGAAGTTGTAGCTCAAAATACCCCAAGATACGTTTTATTGCATGTTAAAATTGCTTTTAGCCATTTTATCCACTACAAGCCTGCTGTAGTAGCGGACCCGGTCCGAATGATGGCCAAAACTTTACTGATGAGTTTTATGAAGTTTATTGTATTATCACACAAGACATGAAGCGTCCATTGTCACTCCAGAAGTGACAATGGACTCGCTGTAAGAGCTTACTCGCAGCTTACTCGCTGTAAGAGCTGAATAAACAGTACAAGAAGTGCACATTAAAGTATTATCCATAAACTCTCTCTCTCCCTTGCATCATCATCAACATACACAGCGAATTACACAAAAAATTACTAACAGCAAACAAATATTTACAGACCTTATGCATTTTCGGGGGGAGCTTAATAAACGGGTAAACTTTATATTCGTAAAAAAACTCCTATGAACTGTAATAAAGTGTGCGATCTCCCTTTCTTTACTGCCGTGACCAGTATCGCTCTGAAGACTATATACTGGATCACAAACAGTTGGTACTGATCCATCCTTGAGTAACAACTTCAAACATCAGTGACTCAGATGCCGGGAGTCTACGGAGACTCTTATGTTCATTGGTACATCCAACAACAGAACATTATGTTTTTTGGCGCAGACATTGTATGCCCCCAGCTGCTAAAGCGAGTAAACCGAAATGGCAAACTGCTAAACAATGGTGGACTGGGATCTATGCTAATAGGGCAGATTGTCACCAGTAGGGGGAAATCTGAAACCACATGTTTGGAGAGATTGTTAATTTATGGGGATTTTTTATAATTATAGGCTGGTTGTTTACACACACTGTAGACACACATTGGTGTTCAAACACCTTATAAAAATGAATTTTGCTCAATAGGTCCCCTTTAACTTTATGCAAATGAAGAGCGAATATTAGGAGCGACAACCAATAGGATTGAAGACTGTCAATAGTTCAGGCATTACTGGAAAGCTAATTTATATAGTGATTTCACGGTTCAATATCATTGGTCAGTAAACAGTGTATTTATTTTAATTATCTACAACAATAAATTGTACACTTTTCTTCAAACCACCAAGTTAGGCATTCTGTCCAGACTTATTTTCTTGTTCCTCGTGCAATTGCAAAAAAAAAAAAAATGCATGTGTTATCATCAAAAATGCATGTGCTGTCACTGTTGTTATGTTTACCGTTGTTTATGTTTATATTTGTGATTGATGTTGATTTAAAATGTTATTTTCTGATCAGTATTTATTTTATGTATATATTATTGTTTATTCTGGTATCTTGGTGGTGTAATTTTTTTTGTGTGTGTTTTTTTGTTTGCTTGTTTGTTGATGTACTGTTAATTTAAATGTTGTTATGTTTTTATTTTTATGTTGTAATTGTGTTACATTGTATGTAAGGACCTCCTCGAAAACGAGATACATCAAGGGGTTAATCCTTCTAATAAATTCTATTCTATTCATGCACTAGCACTGCTGTAGTATATATAACAACACCTTCCATCAGCAGTCAACAATATTTATCATCTGTGATGGCTTTTTCTAAATATATGTCCAGACGTGCGGTCTACCAATAACATTAGAGCGACAGCACTAGGAATGACTCGCATCGATGAGAAAGTCGCTGGTAGTGTAAATGGGGCTATAGTCTTCTGTCATGTGTAAATTACATGTTTTAGTCACCAGGAAATTTTCAGAAAGATGCATTTTCAAATCACAACATCTATAATTTGTGGCATTGTTTTTAGTGTTACCAAAAAATATACATAATGCCACTTCGGTGACAGTTGATTATTGGAGTTTCAACAAAACTGTGGTTGGTTGTTGTTTTACATATTGGTCAGATGGTCTCTTCCTGTCCAAGTAGGGAATTTTTGTCTAATACAAGCCCCAAACTGGACTAGACTTTATGCTGAGAATCAAAAGTGACACTTTGCCCCATAGCTTTCTCTCTGGCCACATATCCTCTTTAATACAGGCTCAGCATATAAACATGGCCAGCAGTAAAGCTGCAGAAAAGAAGAAAAGAAAAGCATCTGAACGATGGAAGTACTTTGCAGTTGTGGAGCAAAATTTAACTTTTCTGTGGTCGAAAATGTGCGGAGCGGTTCCAGAAGAGAAGGAAGATGAGGAAATGTGATAGAGAACGAAGAAAAGAAAAAGTGTAAACTGACCGTGCATCAGGAAAGTGCTCAGCAGTTGATCTGTAGCTACTGGCTTTATCTCTGTACGCAGATTCATAAACCTCCCCACCACCAGCGGCGCTCTCCTAAAACCCAGGATCCTGCAGGAAGAGATCAAGAAGCTCATGATACATACAGTAATGACACATCAGCATACAGTTGGTTGTCAAGACTAGGGGCCAGATTTACTAAACAGGGCAAATTAGCATGAGAGCACAATTGACTGTTCGCAAAGACCCGTCCACTTTAGTTATGGTTGCTATGGCCAACAAGCCACGCTGCTCTCACAGCCCACCATGTTCTCACACAGTGAAAAATACATTGTGGAGCAAAGAGGACACTGACAACGCGCTGACAGACAGGACAGAGCAGGTTACTTTAGATATGAAACAGTCTCAACTTTCAAATTTTGTAATTTTCTAAAGAAATTTAAACAATAAATACCGTTTTATGGCTCTTTAATGTGTCGTGAAAGATTGCTGTTAAAGCGCCTCAGTTAAAGCCAGGGGCGTAATTTGTGGGGGGGATGGGGGGGGATATACCCCCCCCCCCCCCCCCCCCCAATATTTAAATCTATGCATTACAACCCCCCCATTATTTATACCATGATCACAATATCAGGAGGCATACCCAAATTTCAACCCCCACAATGTTCAAACCAAATCTACGCCCTTGGTTAAAGCGGCTCGTCAACCGATCATCTCTTCTATTGCATCAAATAAACATGAATGAACATCAGAAGAAATGTTGTTTCAACCGTGGAAAGACGTCAGTACACACCGTTTTTCAAGTTCAAATCCACCAAAGTTAATCTACTAACTCTCCTGGCTGCTTTGTCGGAAAAAAAATGGCGGATTATGATTGGTCAGATCACCTGTAAATCAAACTTCCTGCGAAGGGTGAATTCCTCAAAAGTGCAGATGGGAGTGTAAAATTCAGCGCGTGATCTACTGACGACACTCAAATTAAAGAACACAGACACAGTCAGATTTTTTCCATAATGACCAACGTAATCTACCAGGCAGAGTCTGGTTTAAGACGTGCTTTTTTGGGCGGTAAATAATGGCACAAACACCAGTACATTGACAAGCCCAAACCTTAGTAAATCACCTCGCGTGATTCACTTAAATACTCTCCTCCCATAAATTTTGCATCTGAAAGGGAAACTCCTACAAATGCATTTGTTATAAGAGCATCTGCAAAAATAACCCTATCCACACCTTTGGAGCACTAACTTTTCCCTTTCTTTAGTAAATCCTGAAAAACTTGGGTCTGGGACCCCCAGTAGGCTGCAAGGGTCCATGGAAAAGTTCAGAGAAAAATATTCTGAAAAATATTCTCAGAAAAATAAATAATCTGACATTATTACTGTTGACTGTTATTCTGCTTTCTAAATACTGGTAGCATGAGATTAATTATTTTAATCTATTGACAGCTATAGTTTTAACCGTATTCTAATTTTCCAGATAGTACTTCACACATTTTTATTTTTCATAATATATAGGGGTCTTTAAAACATACTACTGTTTGAGTTAAGTTTGAGGTCAGTAAGATTTTTTTTAAATGTTTTTGAAAAAAAAAGTCTCTTATGCTCACCAAGGCTGCATTTATTTGATTAAAAAGATACAGTAAAAACAGTGATATTCAGTGTCACAAGATCCTTCAGAAATCATTCTATGATGATGATTTGCTGCTCAAGAAACATTTCTGATTATTATTATCAATATCCAAAACAGTTGTGCTGCTTAAATTTTTGTGGAAACTGTGACAATTTTCAGGATTCTTTGATGAATAGAAAGTTCAAAAGAAAAGAAAGTCTGTAAAATCTTCAAAGTAATATATATATATATATATATATATATATATATATAATATACACTATACATATATATTTTCACACATACATTGTATATATATATATATATATATATATATATATATATATATATATATATATATATATATATATATACAGTTGTGCTCAGGATTAATGGCACCCCTGGTAAATATGATTAAAAAAAATGGCTGTAAAAAATAGATCTGAATTGTTTATCCTTTTGATCTTTAATTTAAAAACAAATGCACAAATCTAACCTTTCATTGAAGTAAAATAATTGAAAGTGCAGGGGGAAATCACATTATGAAATAAATGTTTTTCTCAAAAACACGTTGGCCACAATTATTTGCCCCCTTTTATTAAATACTTTTTGCAATCTCCCTTTTCCAAGGTAACAGCTCTGAGTCTTCTCCTATAATGCCTGATGATTTTGGAGAACACCTGACAAGAGATCAGAGAGCATTCCTCCATACAGAATCTCTCCAGATCCATGTTGGTGCTTCTTCTCTTCAGTTCAGCCCACTCATCAGGTCAGGGAACTGGGACGGTCACGGCAGAAGCTTCATTTTGTGCTCAGTTACCCCTTTTTGTGTTGATTTTGATATTGGTTTTGGACCGTTGTCCTGATGGAAGGTCCAACCACGGCCCATTATAAGATTTCTAGCAGAAGGCGTCAGGTTTTGATTTGTCGTCTGTTGGTATTTGCTAGAATCCATGATACCATGTATCTGAACAAAAAGTCCAGGACCTCCAGCAAAAAAATGTGCGCTAAAAAAGGTAAATATTAATGGGAATATACTACAGAGATATTTTACTCGTAAACAAATGTAGGGGTGCCAATAATTTTGGCCAACTTGTTTGGAGAAAAACATTTATTTCATAATGTGATTTCATAATTGTTTTTTATTTATAAGAGTTTCTTGACAAGCTGAGCACTGTAACCAATCAAAGACAGAAGTGAATCTGAGGCCTAAAGAGATTTTTTTTTTTTAAAGAGACCCCCTTTTTCTTTAACTCTCATGTCATTCCAAGTCTGCACGCAGTTATTTTTCTTGTTGAACACCCACAGCCTTCAATTTCAATGTTTCCCACACAAAGCTATTGTACTGCTTCAGAGGACTTAGAATATAGGACACCAAAGACTTATTTTAACATACTCAAATGGTGTTTTTGGAGCTTGGTAGCCATGGACACTATAAATGTTTGTATGGAAAAGAGTTGAGAGAACAACTTTCTGTGTGGCACAAAAAAATTACATTTCATATGGGTTTGGAGCGACATGGGTTTGGAGCGACATGAGAGAGTTCACACAGTATCCTCTGGAAATAAGAAACATTGCCTGGCCAAGAAGCTTTAGTGGAAAGAAAAACGTTGGAAATTTGCAAATTACACCACAGTCAAAGTTTTTTTTTGTGTGGTCTTTTTAGGATAGGACAGTAGATATTTTGACAGGAAAGTGTGGGGTATAGAGAGAGGGGAACAGAATCGGAAAAGGACAGTTGCGCCATGTCGCGCGGTAACCACAAGGCTATCGGCGCCCACCGATCACAGTCAAAGTTGCCAGGCAGGAATGTAGAAAGCCTCTTGCCGAACCAGCTTCTAACACCATGTTTGCGAACAGTCAATAAGCTCACGCTGAACAGGAAGGCAAACAAGTCATATGAAACCTTTGTTCTGGTCAGGCCATGAAAGTTTTGGTCAGTCATATTGCTTACAAGTGTAATGTATTTGAAATTTCATTTCAATTCATTTTTATGCGGTGTTGATTTTCTGATGTATAAAACAGCAGTTATGTAATTTAGAAACATAATTCTCAGCTTTGATGTTTTAAATGTGTACACTGAGCATTTCTGGGCGTGTCCCAGGGGTTCATTTTTACTGAATCGAACAGATTAAATTTGGTTGTATATGAGACGTGTGAAGAAAACAAGGTAAAATCACTCTAAAACACTGTCCACAGTAGGAAAATTACACAATTCCCTGGTTAATTATTTGTTATAATTATGCAGCCCTAGTGTGTGTGTGTGTGTGTGTGTGTGTACATTACCTGTCCAAGTGGAAAGCAGCAATTTCTGCATTATGCCGATCGTACCCTGCATACGGCTCTCCCTCGACCACATAATCTCTAGTGTACCTAATAATGAGAGAAAATGAAGTAGATGTATACAACAAAAGCAGACACAAAGATGAAACTAAAAAGACTCGTGTTATCCGTGTCCTAATGAACTCAGGCGAAACCAAGTGTGCAAGCTATTCAATTAAATTATTAGTTGTCGTCTTGATGTCTGGAGTGTCGTGTGTACACACCCAAACTGAATTCTCATGGGACCAAATTACGTTAGGAATAATTGACGACAGGCCATTTCTTTTTCTAATAATTCAACGGCCCGGAGTCAATTATTCCGCTTATACTAGTTACCACACCTCGAAACATTGTTCAGATGAAGCATTTCAAGACGTTTGTCAAGTTGTCGTCATTAAAATACACTTGTATAAGTATAATACTAATTTCTTACGCATCTGATCCCATGCCTCTGTTGCTAATTCCAAAACTTCATTTTAGACTAGCTGAAACAAACTGAACACACTTACAGACTGTTTCCATCGACTGAATCAGATTTTAAACACCGACTGTGAACACACACTATTTTGGGCATAATCAGTTATAAGTATCAAATTACATTCATAATCGGCCTTACAGTAAGTGTGTCCCCGGCTTTATGCAGTTATTAATGAAGTTATTAAAGAGAAAGAGAGAGAGAGAAAGAGAGATGTTGCAATAATGAGACAGAAAAGCATGTGCGTCAATATTTAATTAATTCAATTTGTTTTAATTAATTTGTTAATTCTTTTTTTTTTCTATTATTAACAGTAGGCTAGCTTAATTAATGAACCACAAAGCCCTTTTAACAAGTAGGCCTATCAATATTTATTTGTTATATTGTCTGCAATAATTACGAAAACCCGTGCAGCAGGACTGTCAATTTATTTCTATATTCAGTTTAATTTTCTATTGACTATAGATAGTACTATATAATTTATTTATTATAATTAAACTGCACGTTTCCATTGATTGTGAAGTTACACATTGAAAAAAGCAGATCAAGCGCATGTGGCTGCATGTTTTTTCTTGTTATGAATTGTATCCTATTTTCCGTTATTACAGTTAATTACGCAAAGTGATATGGAACTGTAATGCGGTCAAGATCTGCCTGGAACTACTTTAGCCGTGCGTTTCCCTGAAACAATCTGAACCAATCAGATTCAAGCATTCAACAGCCCTGTAGTATGAACGATATTAAATATCAGATATGTTCTGACTGACTGGATCGTATGGTGTCGCACAGCATTTTCACATTCAGTGTGGACAATATGTTATGATTAGAGTAATTAGTCAATCTACTCCTAACGTAAATACACACACACACCCTAGTAGAGTCCCTAATGTTATTACTTGTTCCTTAAACAGCCGGATGCAATGAGCAAACATAATATTGTTTTAATAGTTTCAATATAACCCAGGACAGTATCCAACACACAACGCCCACATAAGTCTTAATTTTTCAACAGACACTTGTTGGGGTAGACTGTATATAATTCTATAATAAAGTGGCTATTACACCCACAAGAAACATGAGTACTGTTATTGAGGTTAAGAGTGCTACAAAAAACAAACAGTATTCACATTAAAGCAAATGCGCAGACAGCATTTACTCTTCCATGTCATTCTGAAACTATAGACACTGCAGCAGATTTTTAAGAAGAAAAAACTAAGTAAAAGCTCAAAGTAATAAATACTCCAGGTGTAACACTACCGTTGCAATCTATTCAATGTTATTCTATTTTCCTATTTGGAAGATATCCCACATTCCACTTTGAATGGCACACCCAATTCAGCCGTTTGGGGCCAACATGTACAGTGCGGATGGATTGTGAAAGCTCAATCTGGATGTGAAGCCATCACAGATAAGGTGTGTTTGATCGATGACCTCAGTGATTAAGGGGAGCAGGAGAGTTTCCACACTTATCTAAAGTCCCTGTAGATCCACGATAAATCTAATAGGCTCAGATGAGACAGCTGACAGCTGAACTCACCTGAAGTCATGTCAGATCAGCTTTGAGCTTTACATGCACATGCTATTTTATTCGAGAAAAATCCTGGTAAGACTTTACAAATAGGTTAAATTTGCTAACATTACTATAGTATTTTATGATAGCTAATGCATCAACTACACATCTTTTACATAATTTATTAATGCAGGCTGATGTTAATTTACAACTACACTGAGGCTTTTTTTTTTTAAATTAATGTTTGTATACATTAAGACATTTTTATCAGTTTAAATTTATACTTTTATTCAGCAAAGATGTGACAGTAAAGACATTTAAAAGGTTCAAATGTTCATTTTAACTTTCTATTCATCGAATCCTAGAAAGAATTATCATGGTTTCCAGAGAAATATTAAGCAGCACAACTCTTTTCAACATTGATAATAATAAGAAATGTTTCTTGAGCATCAAATCATCATATTAGACTGATTTCTGAAGGATCATGTGACACTGAAGACTAGTGTTGTCAAAAATATCGATATTTCGATAAATATCGATACTGAAATATCTGAACGGTACCAATACTAATTTCCCGAAGTATCGATACTAGCCGAGCAGTCACTTTCACTTCTCTCAAAAGGCGCGTTGACAAACACCACACGTCACGCACTCGTCTCATTCGCTCAGACAAAAGTGAAGTGAATGGGATGGCGAGGGCGGCGCCCCCGCGACCGGCTTTGGTTGATTGTTGAAGGGGCGATAAAGAACATCATTGATAAAGAACACCGCGAGCGGGCATGTCGGAGAATAGCGCGGACACGAGCTACACACCGCGAGCGGGCATGTTGGAGAATAGCGCGGACACGAGCTACACACCGCGAGCGGGCATGTCGGAGAATAGCGCGGACACGCGAGCGGGCTGCGGGCACCCAACAGATTGTTTGACTATCAATAATCCCTCACATCACTCATTTTTTTAAATTATTGTATAGGTGAAAACAGACTTAAGGAACAGGCTCCAGGGGTAGGCTACTATTTAACAGCATATGCTCAGCATCAGGGGTGTTTGTTGTTTGGACAGACCTGCCCCCACTGCTAAAAAAAATCCTCAAGGAAACACTGTAACTCTTCTCATTTTAACTTTTCTGAAACATTAACCAAGATGGCCTAGTATTGTTGTTGATAAGAGTCTGTGTTGTCTCGTTTTAATTCTTAAAGTTAACATAATCTGACTGAGGAATCTTAGACAAGTAAATATTGTAACTGTGGTCAAATGTAAATTAACTGGTGCCTATTTAACTTTATTCAAAAATTATTATTTAATTCTGCAATTTTCCTTCATTAGCGATTATCATCAATTTGATTACACATATATTAATTAAACTAAACAGCTAGACAATGGCATCTCTGAATAAAATAATGACATGCCTTTAACTGAAAATTTAAAGTTTAATCTTAATATTATACATTACTGACTCTCTATCCTCCAATTTGATACTGTTAAGTGCTTTTTTGTTACAGTATATTTTAATCTTTGATAACAGTAGGTAATAAAAATGCATCATGTTAGCTCTGGTCCAATTAAAAAATATTAACAAATAGAACTCAGGACATTTTTGTTCATGTAAAATATACCTCATTGTCATGTTCTAGACTTGTTATATTTAGCTTTAAATTAAAAAAATACCCCCTTAATATTGTGGCAGTTTTTTCTCCGTGGTATCGAAAATGGTATCGGATATCAATATTTTTCAAGGTATCGTATCGAAGTTAGAAATTCTAGTATCGTGACAACACTACTGAAGACTGGAGTAATGATGCTGAAAATACAGCTTTACCATCCCAGGAATAAATTAAAATTTTAAAATATATTAAAATAGAAAACAATTATTTTAAATTGTACAAATATTTCACAATATTAATGTTTTACTGTATTTTTTATAAAATAAATGCAGCCTTGGTGAGTATAAGAGACTTCTATCAAAACATTTGAATGGAAGTCTATATGTAGAAAATAGCTAATAAATGCTGAGAAAATGATTTTGGATGGTTGTGGTTTTCTACTGCAACAGGAATAGTTCGTTTTTGATTTCATGGTGACTTTAAGATGGGCAGCAGGTCCTTCAGCTACACTGCCCCTAAACCCAGGCTAGCAGATGTTTGGTTATTAATTGTTTGTGTCGCATTTTCTGTTGGTTCCTGTTTGTATTTTTGTGTCAGTTGAATTCTGTTCTACTGTAGTTATGCTCTTGCTTTACGACACATTGTGAAGCGTGCCGAGGTCCCTGAAAGGTGGAGTATAAATAACAAAGACTATTATTATGTCTCTTATTCATTCATCTCTTTTTCTATTTCACTCACTGGCTTTTTCGTTCTCTAATTTGCTCACTCGCTCTTCCCCTCCCTCTCCCTCTCGCTAAATCACTCACACCTTTCATTTTAACCTCATTCACACTCTCATTACTTTCTCTCTTTCGTTCCCCGTCATAATCATCTTCTCCTCACCTCTTGGGTTTGAATACCACTTTCTGTCCTCCGTCGAGCACCAGCAGGGCTTTCAGCTGGGTGCCTTTATAGCCCACATCCGCCCTCTCCACGCGAGCGGTGGCCAGGGCGTTCAGCACAGCGGCGAGCTCGGGCGTCTCGTCCGGGAACACCTCCCGCGGACCCACCCACTGGGCGGCCACTTCCCAGGGCGACTGCAAGGTGTGTGTGAGGCGAGCTCCTTTGGCCAGGGTCAGGCTGGCCTCCATCTTGCGGAAGGCCCGGAGGTCCCGGCGGCTGGCGGCCGATCCCTCTCCTCCATCCAGCAGGAAGACCTTGGCCAGGCCGAGGAGAAAGAGCACAGCACACAGCACCACCACACGCTGCTTCAGCTTCATCACCTCCCGCAGCCACCAGGCCTGAGTCTGCCAGGAGACGCGCACTCACGCCTGGGACATGGCAGTGCCCGCTGTCTCAACAACACCACCACTCAGGCTGGACGGGGGCGAGGACGGAAGACACTTCCTGTGAGAAGAGAGAGTGCTTGTCGTTTTAACCGAGCACAGTTTTTGGACTCAGAATAGGTCTATCATCAGCCAGTGCTGTTATTTATCAAGGCTGTGAACAAAACATTATGTGTAGCACACTTCCCATCTAATAACTGCGATAATCTTTGTGCTTTGTTACTTATGATAGTCTCAGCTTTCAAATTCTGTCAATTTTATGATGAATTTCAAACAATAAATACCACTTTGGCACTCTTTAATGTGGTGTGAATTGAAAACCTCTTCTGCTTTTCAACTAGTTATAGCACTAAATAAACATGAATGAACATCAGAAGGCATGTTAAAAGATACAGTACAACTTATTGAAATCTGTATCATGTCATATGTAATCGGTAAATCAGCGTTTCAACTGTGGAAAGACGTCAATAAAACAGCTTGTAAACTTTCACATAACATTTACCTCAGAAAAACCATTCAATGTCCAAAACTCGACAAATTTAACTCTAGTGATAGCCTGGCATGCCAGACCTACATCAAGATGTTAGGTCTGGGAACTCTCCATTGACAAGCCTTTCAAAATCCCTCTCCACGCAATAGGATAACGCTACAACCAACCAGAGCAACGAACGGCTGTGGATGAGTGATTCCCATGCGTTTTTCCACCAGCGGAGCTAATTGATATATTAAACTTTTGCCGTATCAGGTCGGCAAAACTCCGAACACATCTTCCTTTTTTAAGAATGACTTAAGTGACGTTCTCTTTACTCCAAGTCCTCCAGAGTCGCGGGCAAAGCCGATTCAAAAGACCGCTGCATCTTCATTGTTTTCAAGTAGCAGGGAAATCACCTATGGAAATCACGCGGAATGTCATGAACTGTGCCGTCATTGTGTTAACCCCGCCCACCGACTCTATACACGATGTGATTGGCCCGACCAGTTTTTGGTTTTTCCAGCTCAAAAGCCTATGGAGAGTTGCTAGACCACACTGGCTGCGAAATAATTTTCGCTGCCGCTAGGGTGCGTCTAGATTTCTAGGCTACTCTAGTGAGGAACATTTTCTAAATAATATGCACTATATTACGTATTCATTATATTTTTAATTAAACCTGTTCTTCAATATTCAAATGAATCCATCAGAGAATAAACGAATAAAGTAAAAATTATATCGATTACAGTGTCCTTGTTACACGTTACATGTAGTTACTAGGGGTGGCACGGTTCACAAAACCCACGGTTCGGTTTGTATCACGGTTTTCGGTTCTCTACGGTTCTTGTTGTTTTTAATCTTTAACACTCCAGAAATGTACTTCAGCATATGATATATTTTAGGATATATTCCACAATTTAGGATACAGTATTAAAAAAAATATATATCATGCACAAAATGAATTTGACTTGACTATAAGCACATTATTGGGACCATCTCCGAGGAAAGCTAGGTGAGATTTTGATACAGCAAGAGAGAAGATATTGATGACATGCTTTTCGTTTATTTGGCAAAAAAAGGAGAATGTGTAACGTTATCACTATCTCTACAGGAACTTATGTGCATTTTTAGCACACAAAGATTGAAATTAACTTGCATTTATCAAACTGCTAACAAAGTGTAGAGAGGAACTCTTAAAACTCTGTCTTTTAAATAAGTCAAAATACATGAAACATAATTTACTATAATAAGGCTATAGCAATAGCAAAGGCCATAATCATAAAGTGAAACATAAGTTCAACCTCAACACAAAAACAGTATCAACAATGCTTCTATTCCCTGAGAGTGAGGATACATTTTTTTCAATCCAAAATGTTCCCACACACCGGACTTATACGACGCTGGCGCATCCTCGTTAGCCTTCCTTATCTCTCCCACTTGCCATTTCTACGCGTGACGTGACCTGCAGCCCTCCATACTCCACCTTTACTGGCTTGTTCGACTTGAACCGGCGCTGCACAGAGCGATCGGTAATGACATCAAAGAACCGCGAGAGTGATTGAAAAGCATACGGAGCCGTCGCTCTCGCGGTACTTTGATGTTATTTACCGATCGCTCTGTGCAGCGCCGGTTCAAGTCGAACAAGCCTCATATGTACAGGTCCTTCTCAAAAAATTCGCATATTGTGATAAAGTTCATTATTTTCCATAATGTAATGATAAAAAATTTAACTTTCATATATTTTAGATTCATTGCACACCAACTGAAATATTTCAGGTCTTTTATTGTTTTAATACTGATGATTTTGGCATACAGCTCATGAAAACCCAAAATGCCTGTCTCAAAAAATTTGCATATTTCATCCGACCAATAAAAGAAGTGTTTTTAATACAAAAAAAAAAGAGTCAACCTTCAAATAATTATGTTCAGTTATGCACTCAATAGTCAATACTTGGTCGGGAATCCTTTTGCAGAAATGACTGCTTCAATGCAGCGTGGCATGGAGGCAATCAGCCTGTGGCACTGCTGAGGTGTTATGGAGGCCCAGGATGCTTCGATAGTGGCCTTAAGCTCATCCAGAGGGTTGGGTCTTGCGTCTCAACTTTCTCTTCACAATATCCCACAGATTCTCTATGGGGTTCAGGTCAGGAGAGTTGGCAGGCCAATTGAGCACAGTAATACCATGGTCAGTAAACCATTTACCAGTGGTTTTGGCACTGTGAGCAGGTGCCAGGTCGTGCTGAAAAATTAAATCTTCATCTCCATAAAGCTTTTCAGCAGATGGAAGCATGAAGTGCTCCAAAATCTCCTGATAGCTAGCTGCATTGACCCTGCCCTTGATAAAACACAGTGCACCAACACCAGCAGCTGACATGGCACCCCAGACCATCACTGACTGTGGGTACTTGACACTGGACTTCAGGCATTTTGGCATTTCCTTCTCCCCAGTCTTCCTCCAGACTCTGGCACCTTGATTTCCGAATGACATGCAAAACTGAGCAACAGTCCAGTGCTGCTTCTCTGTATCCCAGGTCAGGCGCTTCTGCCGCTGTTTCTGGTTCAAAAGTGGCTTGACCTGGGGAATGCGGCACCTGTAGCCCATTTCCTGCACACGCCTGTGCACGATGGCTCTGGATGTTTCTACTCCAGACTCAGTGCACTGCTTCCGCAGGTCCCCCAAGGTCTGGAATCGGTCCTTCTCCACAATCTTCCTCAGGGTCCGGTCACCTCTTCTCGTTGTGCAGCGTTTTTTGCCCCACTTTTTCCTTCCCACAGACTTCCTACTGAGGTGCCTTGATACAGCACTCTGGGAACAGCCTATTTGTTCAGAAATTTCTTTCTGTCTTACCCTCTTGCTTGAGGGTGTCAATGATGGCCTTCTGGACAGCAGTCAGGTCGGCAGTCTTACCCATGATTGCGGTTTTGAGTAAATAAACAGGCTGGGAGTTTTTAAAAGCCTCAGGAATCTTTTGCAGGTGTTTAGAGTTAATTAATTGATTCAGATGATTAGGTTAATAGCTCGTTTACAGACCCTTTTCATGATATGCTAATTTTTTGAGACAGGAATTTTGGGTTTTCATGAGCTGTATGCCAAAATCATCAGTATTAAAACAATAAAAGACCTGAAATATTTCAGTTGGTGTGCAATGAATCTAAAATATATGAAAGTTAAATTTTTATCATTACATTATGGAAAATAATGAACTTTATCACAATATGCTAATTTTTTGAGAAGGACCTGTATGTCCACACGTCTTATTTCGCGCGAAAAGAATGACATGCAAAACTGAGCAACAGTCCAGTGCTGCTTCTCTGTAGCCCAGGTCAGGCGCTTCTGCCGCTGTTTCTGGTTCAAAATGTTGCCTGGTCTGATGAGTCTCGATTTCTGTTGAGACATTCAGATGTTAGAGTCAGAATTTGGCGTAAACAGAATGAGAACATGGAACCATCATGCCTTGTTACCACTGTGCAGGCTGGTGGTGGTGGTGTAATGGTGTGGGGGATGTTTTCCTGGCACACTTTAGGCCCCTTAGTGCCAATTGGGCATCGTTTAAATGCCACGGCCTACCTGAGCATTGTTTCTGACCATGTCCATCCCTTTATGGCCACCATGTACCCATCCTCTGATGGCTACTTCCACCATGTCACAAAGCTCTAATCATTTCAAATTGGTTTCTTGAACATGACAATGAGTTCACTGTACTAAAATGGCCTCCACAGTCACCAGATCTCAACTCAATAGAGCATCTTTGGGATGTGGTGGAACGGGAGATTCGCATCATGGATGTGCAGCCGACAAATCTGCGGCAACTGTGTGATGCCATCATGTCAATATGGACCAAACTCCCTGAGGAATGCTTCCAGCACCTTGTTGAATCTATGCCACGAAGAATTGAGGCAGTTCTGAAGGCAAAAGGGGGTCCAACCCGTTACTAGCATGGGGTACCTAATAAAGTGGCTGGTGAGTGTACATCCTAATAAATCGATATCGAATCAATATTGGAAATGGATTGAATCATGAGATTTGTGTCAACACCCTATGATTTATCTCGTACTGTGAAACTGACAATGACAGGCGCACTTCTCATAAGAGCACTCACTGATGCAGGAGAGCTTCCTCCGTTATATAAGGTTGTGTGTGTGCGTTAGCGTTTGACGTGACAACCTCTCACACACTTCAATCCTGCCAACATATGATCTGGAGTCCAGCCCAGTGTTGTGTTCAGGGTGGGGCTCAGGTGTGTCTGTCTGTTACTGTCTGGAGGACGAGTCTGCTTTCTGTGCCATCTCTCTGAGCAGTCTTGATCTCCTTAAAGAAGAAAAAGACGACAAAAATAAGAACACAAAGCTTACGGTGCATCAATACAGCTAAACTAGGTGTCTATGGGGTCTATGCAGTCTATCAGTTTATTCAAAAAGACATTCAAAATGCAATTCATACATGGATTTTGTGCTGCTTAACATTTTTGTGGAAACCTTGATTTACTGTCTTTACTGTCACTTTTGATCAATTTAATGTGTCCTTGCTGAGCAGTGTATTTATCTTGTACCGTCTACATACATACATCGAGTATATAAACATGTGCGTGCACACGAACACATCACTACTGTGATGAATTGTACACCGAATGGCTCACTTTGATGAGAGGATGGATTAGACCGACTCTGTCTTATAACAACAAACGTGCAAGACTCATGATGGATCTCAGGGTGTAAATAAAAGAGAAAGAGCAGCCCAAGCAGAAGCAGCAGTCTCTCAGCCCAAACTCACCGCGGTGCTGAGCTCTGGCAAACACAGACTTCCTGATCTCAGCCTGGGGCTTATATCTGTGTTTGAGACTTCTACTAAACACACACATTTACTACAGCGCTCTGTGAGCTCACCGAGCCCACTCACGACAACGGAATAAACCCATTTGATTGGCAGACATCCACAAAATACACCGCTTTGATTATAGAACATAAGATGAAAAATCACAATGCAACGTTGTTTTTTTTCCCTAATGCTACAGCGATCTGTGTCGATTCTCTCTGGTGCCTTTGTGAAAACATCTCTTTAGACCGAAGATGACAAATGCTCCTCCAAGGCTCAATGATAAAGGTTGATGAATTGATGGACTCAGTTTGAGAGTTTCAGGTCAATTAATCTTATATTCTATAATTATGGGCATGCACTTTTTTTAAACATTTAAATTGGTTTTCTGGGATGCACTCATTGCACTGAATATTCTTTTTGCAAATTTTGTTGATTTAAATGTGTCATCAATGTCTCCATCCGTCATGGAGTTTCATTATAGCTGTAGAATTTCCAGCTATTATTGCAGTTTCGTTCTTGAATTTGTTTGATCAAGCGGTATGCCAAGAGTGGAGCTATTGAGTCCAATAATTGAACAAACATTTCACTGTTGTGTTCCAGACTAGAGTATGTGAGCGGAGAGGAGTGAAGCTGAGCATTCAGAAGTTTGGGGTCAGTACGATTTTTTTAAGTTTTGAAGAAAAAAAAGGCTCTTATGCTCACAAAGGCGGCATTTATTTGATCAAAAATACAGTAAAACAGTAATATTGTGAAACATTATTACAATTTAAACTGTTTTCTATTTGAATGCGTTTTAAAATGTAATTTATTCCTGTGACCTACCGTCAGTAATAATATTTATTTTCCACTATCGATCACAACTTACAATGTAATAAAATCAGAATCATTTACTCGTTTTAGTGATTCCCTTGTTATTTTGTGTTATTGACGTTCTAATCAGGTTACTTGTCCGGTCGGGCAAGTACAATTATTTTACTTGTCCTTTCTAAAAATCCACTTGTCCCGGACAAGCGTTAATGTCGAGCCCTGATCACTAGTAAAATAATACGGAGTTTGTAAAATACACACTGATGTCTGTGGAAGCAGCAATAACAATCTATTCAAATATAATTTACCGACGTGTGTTATTCATATCATACAAACATAGTGGAAGTAACTATAAAGTGTACTCTATTCTTCTGACAGTTCACCGGCCACTTTCTTACATGTGGACTCTTTTGCGGCGCAAAGAAACATGGCGGCGCCCATTATTTATAAAGGTTTTTAAACGACCAAACACACTAGCTGTGTCTGAAATCGCTCCCTATCCACTATATAGTGCACTATATAGGGTGTCGGCCATTTTGTAGTGGTGTCCGAATTCTGAGTGAACGACATCATTCCCTACATTCGTTCACTACTTTTACCCACAATCCTCTCTGATTTTGAGTGTACATCCGATGTACACTTGCTGAAGCACTATTTCCCAGAATCCAATGCGTAGAGGACTGAGTGCGCGTGAAAGTGCAAAGCAAAAATTACTTTACAGCTTTTTTCCTACCTTTTTTTATTAATCATTACTTGAATGAAACACATTAAAATATTGAGAAAATATTATATCCACCTTATTCCTGACAACCTTACTGCGTTTTGAATTATGGGTGGCACTTCCGGTTTGGGGAACTTCCATTCAAAAAGGCTGAAACGAATCATTTTAAATCATAAGGTTGCCCTACAAATAAAGCTGATCCGTCCGTTTGACTGGATGAGCTGTCAATTTTCCTTCATCATGATTTATTTTCAGACATCATGAGAATAACATTATACTTGGTATTTTAACGTGACATGTTATAACAATAATATCTATGGCAAGAGCTCTTTTCAGTCGCTGCTTTCTTTTCCTCGTGATGATTTTTTTTTTTCCTTTGCAATCCGCTGTAAAAGTATGAAAAAAGTACAACATATACGGCACATTTGTGGTCTGTTCCCCCGAATTTAATTTACGATAATAATTCACTGGAATGCACGAAGAATCTCTCGTTATTCTCCTTAAATCCTCACGTTTCTTTCCAGGTTTGTTTTCACAGGTAAATGCAATTTATAATCTGTCAAAATGACGGAAATCACTTATAGTGTCACGTAATGCTGAAGTTAATGAACATTTTTTATTAAGGCTTGTTATACATATTTGCCTACTACAGTGATATTTAACCAAAGACTCGCGCGTTTGGGGCTATTTTTGGTCTGTTGACCTTGTTGATTATTTTAAACTTTTAAATTTCATTTTAATGTTCGATGGTTGAAGGGTGAGTCGATTAATGTCATCTCGTGACACTTTTTTAACGTATTGCGTTCATAGAGCGAGCCTTTCACTCAGGGCCGTAGCTAGAGGATTCGGGGCCCCCTGAAAAAATATTGATGTGGGCCCCCTACACCCTCCACCAATATCATATACTGTACAATAGATGAACATGGAGGCCCACATGACAGAAGATTGTGATGTTGTTGTAAAACCTTTATTTTAAAAGTTAAATGTTTATATAAAAAATTTGATTTCCATTACACGAGAGTAGATGTTAAAACTTCATGCTGATTTGTACTCGGCTTTCGCCAAGATAAGCAAAACTAAGACGCAGCTTTACAGTAAACTATGCTTCTCCATCCATTTACGCTTCTTTCCATAAGGTAGTGTGACTCCCCTTCTGTCTGGCGTTAACGGCAGCAGTGTACTTGGCGCGTTAGCGCACGCGACGGCTGCAACTACAGGACCAGCACGACAACCGTCTGGATTGAACCGAGTAGGGGACATCTCTAGGGTCTTCAAGTGGGCACCTTCCGTCCTCAGTGTTTCGTCGACTAGCCCACGACACCTCAAGAGGGCTCGACAGTGACTCTGGCGTCCCAGAGTCACCCCCCTCCGTCCCCCACTCAACTCAGCCCAGCTTACTGACCTCTACATCCCTCCTGCTAATGAGACCTAACCACAATATCACAATCTCTCCGCGACCCAACCATACGCGCCAACCCGTTGACTAAGGCTGTCGAGCCCCACTGGTGCGTTAATATGCAGTTTCAGTGGACAACAGTTCCGTATGGCATACCACCTACCGCAAAACACAATATCTACCCAACCACCCGTCATTCACGCAATATCCACAGGAACGTTTCCAAACAAACCAACAGACTCTTCAAGTTTTCAAGAACTCTACGAAACCGTAGCGTGGCGGCCTGTACACAGCCAGCTAGAATCTTTCCGTCTCAACCACAGCCAGTTGCTGCTCCTTTCTGCTGCTTCAGATAAGTTCTTTACTGTGCGACGCAACTCTTGGCCACTGAATCCGACGTCTCTGAGGAACCGGGTTGTAGAGTGTGCCACAAAACCTCGACAACCCACTTCCACTGGATAAACCTGGACTCTCCATCCTCGCTGTTCTGCTTCAGTGGCCAGATGAGCATACCGCAGTTTCTTCCTCTCATATGCCTCATCTACCGCATCCTCCCATGGCACTGTTAACTCTATCAGTTGAACAATGTGTGCTGATCCAGACCACAAAACAATATCTGGTCGTAGGTTAGTGGTGGCAATCTCAGGTGGAAAAAAATAAGCCGTTGGTCAAGATCAGCCAGCATCTTCCAGTCCCTAGCAGCTTCCAGTTGTCCTGGGCGAGAATTGGTGTTAACACCTTTTCTTGGTGGTTGCTCGCCTGGGCGGAGGAATATTGTCTTCTGCGTGTAATGTTTTGCTAGAACAGGTGGCAACTTATTGGTCATGTTACGCTTGCCTTCTAATGCTAAAGCCAAACATCGCAGTACTTGGTCATGGCGCCAAGTAAACCGACCTTGGCTAAGAGCCACCTTACATCCTGTCAAAATGTGCCTTAATGTGGCAGGTGATGAACACAAAGGACAAGAGGGATCCTCTCCTACCCAGAGGTTTAGGTTCTGCGGTGATGGGAGAACATCATATGTTGACCTAATAAGGAAACTGATCCTACTCTCTTCCATTGACCAAAGGTCTTGCCAGCCCATCTTACGTTGTTCCACACTCTCCCATCTCATCCACTCTCCCTGCTTGGCCTGTGAAATGGCCTTTATACACCTCATCCTCTCCTCCTGCTGTCGCACCTCGTTGACTACCAGCTTCCTCCTTTGAGCTGGGCCTGCCTTGTGCCATTTAGGAGGAGCTAAACTGAGCCCAAAACCCCCTCTTCCATGCTGTACCTGTCCCACGATATCCCTAATTTGAAGGGCAGCCTTTGCCTCTACTACAGATTTCTTTGCTGACCACTTTCTACCAGTTTTTAACACAGGGGCTGCCTCCCTTACACATTTGTCGCGTGACTCTACTAAGGTCATTTCCAGTCTGACCTTGGCACACTTGAACTCCTCGGTTAAAGCAGAGACTGGCAGCTGCAATATTCCTTTACTATAAAGTCCTACTCTGCTGAGGCAGCGTGGAACTCCCAACCATTTCCTGATGTATGAACTTACCAACGCTTCCAGCTTATCCACTG